CTTCCTAATCATCTTACCAAATATTCCTACAGAGATAAAAATTAATTCTCCCACCCACACATAAGTCTTGCAACCACCGGTTCACTTACAAATTATTCCAGGATAATTGTTAATAATTATTACTAAACATGAACAGATTTGGATACTAAATTGTAAAATAACAGATAAACCTGCACACACAAGTATTGCCACTAGTACAAAACTCCATGACACAGTTGACCAGTGTCCAACTTAATCAATAGGATCCTTTAGTTTGTTTGTGTCATATATGTGTGCACATGTGTGTATATGATTTTCCCCCCGATTTCTATAAGCATTATACCAAAAAAAGGAAGTTGAAAATGTGAAGGCTTCTATTGTTGCACAGACATGTGACTCTTGTCTAAATGGCATTAAAATTGTTCAGACATTGAAATGAAAGCAAATGTGCCTGTACCTATCACATTACGTAGGAAAACCAATGTAGGCTGAGTTGCATGTCACCAAATGCCCCACATGTGACAAACAGAGAAAGTGACATAATCCAAGTATTCAGCAAAAGCAGCCCACAGTAACAAATGCATCATTTCTGAAGAGGAAGAGAGAGCAGATGGCTCAGCAAGCAATTGTGGAACAGCCAGCTTCCCCCTCCGCACCTCCAAAACCAAATTGCCTCCCAGTATCTGATCCTAGGCACTGGAGAAACTCAGAGGCAAAATGCTCAAGCACCACAGTAGCAGCGGCCAGGGCAGGAGTCTCAGGTCATGGTGCCCTGAGCTTGGACCCAGATGGCCTGAGTTCACAGCAAGATTCTGCTTGTCGCTTTCTATGTTACCTTAAACAAGTTACTTAATTTTTTAAATTTTATTTCCTCATCTGTGCTATATAAGATCAGTAAGCCTCCATAATGTTCTAGGACATATTGACATGAAAGAGCTTCATGAACTACAAAGTACTCAACAAATGTTAAACTTCATTAATTACAATGTACTGATTGGTTAGAACTAATGCAAGCCAATCTGAAACCTAATAGCATATATCATACACAGTGTATGGAGAGCCCTAGCCCTAGTTGATCATGGCTTCACAGATCCTTTTTAAGAGTGGTCAGTGAATTGTGGTTCTCTCTGCTAAAAAGTCATCATGACTATTCTTCTATCTTAATGGTGGGATAAATCTATTCCATTCATTCCTCATTCAACAAACATGTATTAAGCATCTACTGTAAGCCATGCACTAGCTACGTGACAAAAGATATAGTAGCTGAGGCTCTTTGGATGCTAATTTTTCTTAAAGATAATTATCTCTTTTTCTTTTATTGTTATTGCTTAAAGGACAAACACCATGGAAAACAAAATAAATATTTAACTACATCAAGAAAGACTAGAGTCAGATATTTCTGGATTATTTGTTGCATCAGCTGAAGAAATAATAATGACTTATATTGCTAGTACTTTAAAAAAAGCTACCATAGATGTTAACTGACTTAATTATCATACTAGCTGTATGAAATAGGAATGATTTCCCACGCTTATGAAGCCTAAATGCAAATCTGAGTCTAATATACTCTCCACTATACCATATTGTCTCTCACTTTAACACCAAGGGTTATCAAGGTGGGAAAAGAAAAGTATCTTCTGGCAAGATAAATCATAATTATTTTCCATACTCTAGTATACATTGTTGAGACAGAGAGATTCCAGGACCACACTGCCCTCAAACAGCTAAAACAGCTGTTTAGATAAAAATAGCTAAAACAAGCATTAGAAAAGCCATAAAAGTGGGGCTGAGTAATTTCAATAATCCCTTTTGCTACTGTTTTAATCCCATACAATACATTCATTCTATTTGTTTATTCACTGACATTCTGCTAACTGCAGGAGAAACTCCCAAAAGCGAAGACTAGACTGAAATAGTAGAACACTACTAATTGGCGGATCAATAAAGTATTCCATTCTGTTTGCGTAAATAGACATTTTGATGGCAATTCTTTGCTTTGATGGCAACCAAAATAGATTAACTGGATCTTTAATAGATGTACATTATAAGAGGCACAGACAATATGCCCTGAAGATGATCAATCTCATATTCTGGCAGATGGTAGAAATGGAGGAAGGGGAAAAGAAAGGGAAAAAACATTCCTGGAGCAGCTGTTGCATGTGGGTACCACATTGGGCACTTTACATATTTTAACTCTTTGCAGTTTCATCCTAACCCTACGTATAATTTTACAGATGAGGAAACAGAGGCTCAGAAAAGTTAAGACCAGTCTCATCTCTTCACTTGGCCCTACATCAAAATACTCTGATGCAGAAAGGCCAGAACACGTGTGTGTTATAGAGGAGCACCTTGGCTCCTGATGCTCCTCAGAGAGGCCAGGACTTGTGTGTCATGATTCAGGGATTGGACTTACTCCAAGGTCACAGATGGTACACTTGAGATCCCCTAGCCTATGTACAGAGTAGTCCCCAAGAGAGGAAAGTGTAAAGATGAAGCCTTAGAAACACAAAATTAGGACATATAGAGGGAGAAAGAGAAATATGAGATGTGAAAGAACAACAAAAGTGCAAAACCATGGCAGTCAAGGATGTCTTAAGAAGAGCAGGTGGTCAAAAGCTATGATAGTCAGTAGAATAAAGGCTAAAAATTGACCTCAGGTTTTAGGATAAAGTCTCTATTATCCTGCAAGACCAGAATATCGGTAAAATTGGTGGAATTAACTCTTTTTAATGATTATAAAACATGACAATTCATTTTATGATGGAAAATGGGGAAGCACATAAAAATACCCTTGAGCAATGTGGGGGTTAGGGGTGCTGACATCCCCATACAGTCAAAAAGCCACATATAACTTTGGACTCCCCCCAAATTTAACTAGGTTAACTATGTTGACCAGAGCCTTACTGATAACATAAAAAGTTAATTAACATATATTTTTCATTTTGTGTGTATTATATACTGAATTATCGTAATAAAGTAAGCTAGAGAGAACACATTATGAAGAAAATCATAAGGGAAAGAATATATGTACTAATATGTACTATTCATTAAGTGGAAGAGGATATTCATAAAGGT